GCCCAGCCCCGGACACCAAGAACCACCAACGCACCGACCCCTGAGGGCATCAGTTACCGGCAGGGAGTGTGCTGAGGGGAGACAGGCCTTTGGTGTATACTTTTTTCTTAGTATTTGGGTTGTTTTATTTCTACTGCCTCAGGAAACAAACTGTTGCTGATCAGACCTGCTTCATCTTTGTGCCCTTGGTGCATCAGCTTTAGTGTCTGCGTTACACAGCACTGTACTCTGCTTCAAAGAAGCCAAACTTTAAGTGTTTTTGAGTAATAGCTGTCCAGACTTTCAGAAGCTCTTTCAAAGTTTTTCAGAGGATATCGGGCACATTTTCATACCTCGCAAAGAGTCATTTTAGATTGTATTTTTAGGCACTTCATTATTAGGTTGGTTGGTGGCTCAATGCTTACTCAAACCTTATTTCTTTTTCTTTTCATTGTAATAGCTGTAAAAGTTTACAGCTATGTTAGCAGAGATAAGATGAGATAAACCTTTATTAGTCCCACATCTCGGAAATTAGTTGTGTCACAGCAGAAAGTGGACTGTGCAAAGTAACAGCAGCAAAAACAGAAATAATGGAATAGAATAAGATAAGAGAATAACATTTTTTATTTAAATGGTAAAACACAGTTTTTAAATAATTATAATGTTGCAAATATTTAAACAAGTTTAACATATTACTAATAAAAAGAAAAACAAAACATAAAGCTGATTATTAACTGATAATTGATAATCAGTAGCATGTTTGCTAGCTATTTGTCCTTATCCAGCAACAACTGCTAAATTCAATCCTTTTTAATCACAAGATTTTTTTCCTGTGTGGGAAAATACAAATATTTAAGCAGTGAAAATTGAATTCTATCATCTCTTTCTGAACCTTTTATTATTATATATATTTTTTAATTTAAAATGTTTCTCTTTCCTCTTCCAAAAACATAAAAATGCTATTTATCTTTTTTTATTAAAATGAGCGCTGTGATGGAGTATCGGGCCACAACATACATCGTCTTTATTGCACGATGGCATAACCATCAACAACCTCACATCTGTTCATTACCAGCATTTCGTACAAAGCTTGACCAGACACAGCTTACTCCATACTCCTCACCACACTAACTCTATGTGCTAAAAGAGAAATCACTTCCTTCCTTGTTGCTAAAACCGATTCTGACGTACGATTGCAGTAACTCAGAGGGTATAGCAGCTGTGGTACAATTGTAATCTTTTTCATTTTCATTTCAACTTTTTTCTTGAAATAGATCTTCAACTTTACTCTTGGAATTTCATCGTCATAAAATTTTAGCTGTGCCATAGACTCTGCTAGCCCTGTGACGAACTGTCTACAGGTTAAATTCTCGTTGACTTACCCTTGTGTCTATTAGAGCAAGACCAATCCCTCTTTCACCTCGCTCCAGCTCCAGGCTAAAAACCTCTTCATCTGCTTCTTCTTCATCTCCGTGCTCCTCCTCTTCTTCTTTTAGTTCTACGAGTGTTTTCATATTGCTGCAATCGGACTTTAAGCGGTCTACTTTGAGAGCAGCTAAGCACTGATACACTAATCCACCTGGAGAGTAAAACAAATGATATGTTCAAAAAAAGACGCAGAGAAGAAACTAGGAATGGAAATGTCTTTCTATACCTTCATCATGTGCATCTACACCAGAGAGCCAGGGAAGTGTCTCATCATCAGACTTCATCCATTTGTCTTGGTCTTCCTTCACCTGATCAGTTCGACCTAGTATGAGGGGACTGTTAGGTGGGGTGAGGAGGCAGGAGGGGTCCAGGACTGACCTCCTCGACTCGCTGGTCTCAGTCTCGCTTGTCTGCAGCTCTAGATTTCTTAGCTTTTGGGACAAAATATTGGCACCAGAGGAGCTGAACTCATCCAGGTAGCTGGTGAAGAGAGGAAAGGGTGATGGTGTTGACGGCGATGACGGGGATGGCGGTGATGGCGGTGAAGGTGGTAAGGGAGCAAAGGTACTTGAAGGGGACTGGTGATTTTGGTCACTAGGCTCCCATAAGTTCAAATCAGCTTGTAATGTATTCAAAGTTTCTAGAGTGCTGTTTTGAAGATTAGCCACATTAGTCAGGTTAGCCTCCATTTGAATCCCATCACCCTGGTGGACAAATAACATTAGAACAGCATGAATAGATACATGAGCATAAAAACAGCCACCATAGTATAGTTCATTGTAACATGATGTAAACGGTAAAAAGGGTGTCACCAGATTAATTTTTTATTGCATTATTGTCTGATGGAGAACTTGTGACTGTGAAATGTGCAACAAATATGCTTGCAGTGTTTGAGCTGTTGATTTTTCACTTTTAATGGTCACTTTCAGGCCTAACATCTGCCCTTGCTCTGGTATAGATATGTGATTAGCTTTCTAGTCTAAGGAGCTTGGAAAGAAAAAACATCTGGACTTCTTTAAGTTGCTTGAAGACATTTCTGTCATGTTTCGGTTGTGTACAGGCAGGAGAAGGACCCAAACGCAAAACTCACGACAACAAAATTAAACTCAAAAAG